ATTTATTCCAATTTAAAAAATAAAATACTGATTTAATACTTCAATGTTTGTATTTAATCAGAATATCGTTTACTGTATGTCCCCATATCCTGACATATTTTCATGATACTACATGCAACAGTTGAACAATGAGTTGTTGACTCCAGCTGAATGCAGAAAATGTGAGTGTGATTGTGTCCGAATGCATGTTCACATGCATTTGTGTGTGTGTGACTTTGAGATCAAGGAATGGAGAGCCTAATTAAAGGATGCCATCTAACAAGCCTCTCCTCTAATGTCTGAACCCGTTTAATCGCCTGCACAGCAGCTGAAGATTTAGACCCCGTCTGAGCACAGAACGCCCCAGCTAAAGACCGTTCACACTCACAGTTCTTTCACCCCTCTGCTATAGCTCTAGACAGCAATTACTCACACAGATAGGGAGTCAATATTCAGACACACTGCAGTTATTTCTCGGGTACATGCTGCAAGATAGGAAAAGCATTCGCTGAATCTACTGGCACTTGGGGCAAGACATGCAGTCTGGGTAAACGCAGCTATGGACTTGTCTTAGATTGCATCCAAATTTCACATACTATCCATCCTAAATAGTACACACTATGTGTGTGAGTTTAGATCTCACAATTCTGGAATGACATCTTGCAATTAAGACTTTTTTTTTTTTCAAAAATGATGAGTTCATAATACACAAATCGGACACTATATCGTAGTGTGAATTTCGCAGTGCGATACATATGCTAAGATATAAAGTCACACTGCATTAAAAATTCTGAATTGTGTGTTATTGTCAGGTTTCTGGACTGTCTGTGTTGTGTTTTTGCTCCCCACGTGCTTTCCATGACCCAGTTTTCCCTCATGTGCAATTTAATGTTAATTTACATTATTACATTAGATCCAGGTGTTCCTCGTCATCCCATCCTCTAGTCTTGTGTATTTAAAGTGTTTCCTGTTTTGAGTTCTTTGTCTGGTATTGAATGTCTGTGAACGTCATCTTTGTGTTCTGTGTCTCCTGTTGGATAATTAAAGACTCTCGTTTTGGAAAATCTCTACGTCTCCTCGTTTCCTCGATCCCATGCTCCAACGGATCGTGATAGTTATAAACCCACAATTTAGAGGAAAAAAGTGATAAGTGTGGCACAAAACCACAAATCAGAGAAAGAAGTTGAAATTGCGAGATATAAACTCAAGGCAAGGAAGGAAAAAAGTCAGGATTGTGAGGTAAATCAAAATTGTGATATTTATAATCATAGGAACGGCAACAAATAAAGATATAATTAAGTTAATATCACAATTCCCATATGGAGACAGACTGGCCTCATTAATAATTCATGCAAAAGATATGATGCACACATATTTGAAACTTAATTCACATGGCAATAAGTCTACAAGATTTTTTCAAGTAACGTTAACAAATTGCAATTTACAGTGTATGATAAAGATTACTTTATCATATCTTTTTTAAACAAATGCAGAACACAATTCACAGATATAACTGTGCACAAGAAGTTTTGAATGTTTAAAATTGAGTTTATTACTGAATCGGCTACATTTGTGCAACATATCTTTTGCATGAATATCAATAAGACCAATCTGGCTCTATATTAGCTTTTTATTTTATTTATTTTGTATTCTGTGGCAGAAAAAGGTTTCATATATTTTCCCGTAAAAACATACTTCCTTTAAACATAGAGGTCATGACACACAACACTGGCTGGTGGTTTTCTTTAAGATGTTGTAAAGTGCATCTCCATTCAGCCTTTTTGTCATTGGCTGTGACACTTATCTGAAGGCTCAAGTGTATGTTTGTTTGTTGTTTAAATGCACCTTTTGAATGATATAAATATGTGCAACAGATCCTACAGATGCATTGTGTGTGCCGCCTTTAGACTGCTGTACACATCACTTATTCATAATGCTTTGTCCTACATGTGCTTTTTAAAAAATAATTAACAATAACTAAAAATTCGTATGGATCAGTTCTGAATCACTACGCATCAGTGAATCAATTTTGCTTCATTAACTACAAAAACAGCAGAATAAGAGCGAGGGGACAAACACTCATCTATTCTCTCAGCTCTTTAACTCTCTGCATCTATCAATCTCCACCTGTCTGACAGTTCTTTTTATTCTGTCCCTGAAGAGGAGACGACCTTGACTCTTATGTCTCCTGGTGTGTGAAGCCAACAGTGAGCCAGTAATTTTCTCAAAATTATTCCGTTTGTACTCTTTCCCCTCTCGACATTTCAGTATATCTCTGTCTCTCCCAATTTTGGAGTGTGTCTCTCTCCAATTTTCATATTCTCAGGATTTTATTGCCCGTACAAATTTTTATGAAATGCTCAGTTGTTTTTGTCAGACCCTGGGAATAAGGGCACGGGGACGAGGGGACGAGGTAGAGTGCATCTCTTCTGAGTTAATTGTTTCCAGAGCTGTGCTTGCGTGAACTCATTTCTCAGCCTCAGGCACAGATGAGCTCGAGGGGCTTCTGCTTCCTGTTTCTGTTCACCTGTGCGGGACCGGTGGCAGCTCACAGACAGACCTGAGTAATAAATCTGCACTTAATAAAAGTCTATAGGCTCTCATTATAAACCTGCCAGTCACATTTCTGTCAATATTTGCATTAGCAATCAAATTTAATGTTCTTCTTCTTTTCTTATCTAAGCACACATTGTTATAGGATGTAATAGGTGTACTTTTGTAATTGTAATTTGTCATATTCTACCGCTGAAATATCAAATGAATGCAGTATTTTTTTAGTTTATTATATTTTCACATCTGTACAATTATTTTAATGTTGTATTTTGTAACCACCCTACCCTTCCAACCACAGAAAAAAATGCTACTGCTTGAATTTTTTTTTTTTTTTTTTTTACAATTGAACAAATCGGCTGTGTTCATAGAGTCAATAGTTATGTTTACATGCACTCATTTTCCTCAATCTGAATGAATCCAATCTGATTTCATATTCTGAACTTTCGCAATCAGATTCACATGTTTGTTTGCAGTTCATGTATTCTAAACAAAACCTCAACATAAGCGCAGTTGCCATGTTCACAACCAGATAAAGTGAATGTTACCGGAGCTGACATATACATCAAAAGAGCTTTTTAAGCAAATATTTAGTAAGTATTCAGTCACCATTTACCAGTTTGTAACACATAAGACTTACATAAACATACACAGGTTCATAAGACATAAAACGTATGAAAACATACACATCACTCCACACGTACAGAAGGTAGGTTTGAATTCGATTGAGAAAACTGTCAAATTCAAGCGTTTATGTGCTTAAATTCGTTCCTATTGATCACATTACTTCAGGTCTGCACCACCCTTTCCAATCCTATTGAAATTTTATTCTGATCTATTGAGTGAGGTGTATTTTCAATCCAATTGAGCCATCAATCCCATTACTAATGGATTATTCGGTTGCATGTAAACTTAGCTAATGTTTAAGACTGACAACCATATTCCATTTTTATACCAGGTGTGACTCTCAAATCGTCCCGTATATTTAAAGGGTGACAAGAATGGATCAAATGACGTCTGCATAGACAGGCATCAGAGACAATCCTCTTCTCTAACTCATGAATAATGCATGTAACCACAGAGAAAGAAAACCATATACCTGTAGCAAATAACAAAACTTATCGTCTTCACGGATTTGATTCTGTTTGGCATTTCAAAATACTGGTTCCAACTCTTTCCAAACTCCCCAGCCTCACAATATTTACATTTTTCATAACCTGAGCGGTTTATAGCACTCACATTAGTGACAGGCAGGAATGATATAGCCAGATTTATGTAACATGTACTGCATATCAATGATGTGACGACAGCAGGTCTTTTCATACACATATTAACTGAACTTCCTCTCAAAAATCAGCTGTGACTTTATATTACTATAGTACTGAGTCTGATTATAATTCAAGTTTCTTTCGTAATCAAACACAACCATACCCTTGTGAAAAAAACGCTTTATCATACTTTTAAAAACAGTACTTATTATGGAAATAACTTTAAAAGAATAAACTGACTGTAATGTTTTTAGACACTTAACTGTATGTTATAAATAAGAATTTATTATAGTGTACATTTATATTAAATGCGATTATTATGGAAATAAACTGACTGTAATGTTTTTAGACACTTAACTGTATGTTATAAATAAGAATTTATTATAGTGTACATTTATATTAAATGCGATTAAGTAAACTTAAGAGTGTTTTTGACCCACTGAAGTAAGTCTTAAAGGCAGAGTAAGCGATTTCTGGTAGCCAGTGTTGTACATATTTATATGTAATTTAATAATTACTTCTTTTGTCTTTTTAGATTACTTCTTTGATTATATATTTTGTAATTACATATTTGTAATGATGAAGCAGCAATTTAGTACATTTAAAGTTATTTACATTAAATTTAATATCAAATAACACACTACAGTTACAACTATAATCAAGTACTTTACATGTGCTTTAGTATGTTAGTCAACACATCAAAATAAGTGTACTTCTTTAAAGCATGCCAAAAGTTTATTAAAATTTTAAATGTACTTTAAAATAAACTTTTAATTTGATATTACTACAAAGTGCATGAAAGTGTACTCTCTTTAAGTGGCCTTTTACTTCAATAATACTATATTATAATAAATAATAAATAAATTATATAAAAATATACTTTTAAGATTCAAAGTACACTCCAAGTGCGAATTCAGTACAATTAAGCACACTTCTTTTTCACAAGGGTGTGTATCGTTCCAAATGGGATTGGCAACTGTATTACGCTGCTGTGTGAACATAGTTGTTTTTTTTGTGGAATGTGCTACAATAAATGACAACACGTAACAAGTCCAAGCCAAAAAAAATTAGATCGGTTCTTCAAACCAATGACAGCCTGACAATGTGAGCAAGAGCTTTTTCATTTGACAAATGTGACATCTAACATCAGCCTGCCATTAGTACTTGACATCGTTTTCTCACCCCATCGCATGTCACACTTACCACGGGCTTTCTGGCTGATGTCCCGGAGAAGCACTTCATAACGGACGGGTTCATCATCCTCATTAAACACCATGTCATCTGCCGTGATGTTGTCCTCGCGCATCTGTGTGTACGGCCCCTCCACGGCAAAGTAGCACGGCCGGTCGTCGTTCTTATTATCGCTAAACATGAGCAGGGCGTGTTTGTGCCACCCGAAATGCCGGTGCATCCTGACCACAAACTCGCCCAGCTTCTTGTGCGTGGGGCCGATGTTGGTGATGGATGAGTACAAATTGAAACCTAGTGCTCTCGCTCCACCCGTGATCATCGGAACCTCCCAATGTGTGGTGAAACGGGCCACCGGTGAGGACGAGTAGTCACATCCCGGCCCGATGAAAGCCCAGGGGTTATATGAAAACTTCAGGTCCACGGCCACGAGAGGAGCCACTGAATCCGAACACACTCCTTCCTTGTTTTCGCTGCTGTTGAAAACCAGTTGTAGATGGTAGCCTGGCAGCAGGTTGGGGTCAGAGTTCACCTTGTCCAGGGCCCAGTGCAAGGCAGGGCCGACCCGGGGCCATGCCCAGGGGTACTCAGTGTTGTGTAGAGGCAGGATGACTGCCAGGGTGATGTTCTGTTGAGGTGGATGGGAACTGAGAGACTGAGGCTGGTTTTGAGCGAGGGGCTCCAGTTCAACCACTCCAAATGACACACCGCTCAGCAGAACTAGAAGAGTGAGCCTCAGCGGCCCCATCAGGAACACTTCCATTCTCAAAATGGATGGGAAGGACTAAGATTCTGAAAACATCAAGACAGAGACACACTTGAGACATACTTTCAGCAGAACTGAAAATGTCCTTCATTCACAAAGTTACTTGTGACAGAAATTAAACGAGAAAATTGTGTACAACTAAAAACATCTACAACAATAAGCAGAGGTTCTTCAGTGGAAAAAAGATTCTTCCGATAATTAAAAGGTTCTTCATGCTAAGAAAAAAATGCTTCTCTTAAAAACTGTTTCATGAAAAGTTCTTTGGGAAACCCATAATGGTTCTTTAATGGCTTTGCTAGGAAAAAAATAGACATATATTTTAGGAGTACACGTATCAAATATAGCCTATACTGTAGCCTATATATTTGATAACACTTTATTACACTTTAGTATACCAATTCTCACTCTTAACTAGTTGCTTATTAGCACGCCAATTATTAACATATTGGCTGTTTATTAGTATACATAAAGCACATATTCTGCATGACCATATTCTACATCCCTAATCCTACCCAATACATAAACTTAACAACTACCTTACTAACTATTAATAAGCAACACATTTATTTTTTTTGAGGCAAACGTCGTAGTTAATCGTTTGATAATAGCTAGAATTGGACCTTAAAATAAAGTGTGACAAATATATTTTTCATAATTGAGTAGACTACGCTATGTAATGTTGCATATGACGCGTTCTGGCGTTCAACGACATCTGGACGGAGCGCAAACAAATGAAACTGAACCAGGGGGTCTGGAGACGCGTTACTGAAAGTTTAGCTTAACTATTTTCATTTTACACGTCTTAAAACGCAAAGCTGAAAAAAAAAACCCGTTGAACTTCTTAAACGTGACGCAAGTGTATATGCTACAGACCAACGGCGTAGTCGACGGGGACGCAAGAGCCCGCTCTCACTTCAACCCTTCAACCTAATATATTACAACACACTTTTGATATAAAACATCATTTAACAGTCAAAAACAGTAAAAATTGTTCAATTAATATTTTACCACAGATCAGGTCGTCATTTGGTGTTATAATCCCTCTGCAATCCTAGCCTTCCTCCAAAAATTAAAATCAGTGTCTCGTGAATGCGGCGACAAACTCCTGTTCTCTCAGAGAAAACACGTTGATTTTTACAGCTCAAACCGACTCATCCAACTTACAGGAGCGAAACTTTAGTATCGTGACCCTCTCCACAGAAACCAGCATGATTTCTCAAGCTCCCCTCTTTCTCCGAATGTGCTGAGGAAACGGGATTCGCAAAGAGGAAATCTTTCCCTTTCCTGGTGCGCCTGTGAATTTCTTGGAAACTTTGTTAATGAGTATTGAGGCTTCTTTAATTAAAAACTGTTGAACATGTCCTCTTCTCCTTGCTCTTGTCCCGACTGGAGAAGATGGGCAAAATCTGGGTGTAGATTTGATTCAGTATGCGCGCGATGTCACAACAAAAAGTGAAATCAAAGTAAAAACCACGCTCACATTTGCATCTACAAAACTCGACTTTTTAATTTGACAAAATAAAACGAAAGGTGCGGGTTTAATGTGATGCACGTCTATGTTTGAAGGCTGTTCTCCCCTCAAGCTCATCCAATGAGTGTTGGGCCAGTCAAAGCGCCGTGAAGCTCAAGGTGGGAGGAGGAGAGAACTGAGAGAGGGAATGACACAGTGTGCTAGTCTAAGTGCAGGCGGGAGAGGAGGAGGAGAAAGAGAGAGATGTAGAAAGAATGTTTACAGCACTGTTGCGCAGCCATGTGGCATCATTACCCCATTCTGTCTAGATAGATAGAACAATTGATTGAAAGAGTGATCAATTTATAGACAGAACAGTCGATCAAAGAAATGAACAACTGACAGAACAGTCGATTGAAAGAGAATGATCAATACACAGAATGACAAAATGATAGACAGACAGACACAGACAGACACACAGACACAGACAGACACACAGACAGACAGATAGATAGATAGATAGATAGATAGATAGATAGTCAATCAAAATAACGATCGATTGACAGATAGAGCAGTTGAACGAAAGATAGAACAATTGAAAGAGAGCAATCAATAGATAGAATGATAAACTGATAGATTGATAGATAGAGCAATTGAAATATAGAACGATCGATAGATCAATCAATCAATAGTTAGAACAATAGATCTACAGAATGACAGACAAATAGAACATTTGATAGATTGATAGCTGATTGAACTGTAGAATAGACATAACTAATATTTTTTATAGTGCTGTCAAAAACAGTTTGCAGGATAGATGAGAAAGCAGGACTTGTCATGTTGTCCCTGCCACTGTGCTAGTGTTAGGTGTGAGGCGAGTTGAGGTGGGGTCCCTTTCGACCTCCGGCATTTTAATCACATGCCTTTCTTCCTCCTCATTGTTCCAGCTTTTTCGCCCACTTCCTCCCAATTAAAATAGTCTATTTTTGTGCAGTCTGTTACACTTTTATTGGCTTCTGCTCCGTCCTCTCCTCCGCTCTGTTCTGTTCTCCGTTCGGCCTTCTGCGGGAGCGTCTCATCTTGTGCGCCCTCAGCAGCACTCACCCTGACAAACAACTTCCAGATCAATAAAGCACAGGGAGGACTTCAGCCGCTGGCTTCCCGTATGCAGAGCGTGCCGGGAAAAACATGCTGCGCGCCAGGCCAGCACCTCCCGGTTATGGCTGGTCGTAAATAAGAAGCGTAGGGGAGGGCTGGACAGCTGATAAATTGTGAGCCACTTTCTCTTTCCCTGCCTTCAGGAGGGCCAATGTGTTACTTTCAAACTTCTACCACTGTCCTTGTGACCCAGCTGACCAAATGCCCTACATTCATTCCCTGATTGCCCATGCTGCTTATCCGGACCCCCCTCGCACCTTTGACCTCATCCGGTCAGCCACACACATACCAGTGGCTACAGTTTCCAAAACAGGATATGTTGCACCCTTACTCATTCTGTCACTCGCACTTTCTCTGACAATGCTCAATTGCTACCATGTTACTCTTGCTATTTTTGCAGTATATAGTAAGTATACGGTGTGCAGTATAATAAATTCCTTTGTGCATGAAATACCTGTCCCCTCTACCAAAATGTGTAGTGCATCAGAGCACACCTCAATCAAAAAAGGAACTGGAAGTTGCATCGGCAGAAAAAAGTCCTGCAAATGTTACAACATTGTGGCTATAGATTAAAAATGTATACCATTTTTAAAAGTCAATTTGTTTTCAGAGATGAAATGATGTCACTTGTTACGTAATAAAATCATAGCAAATGTATCATGTATCATATCTCGAGGGCTGAAAAACTTCAGACAATTACACATCTGAAGAAATTTTTAAGTGAGGAGTTTTTGGTCAAATAATGAGCTATTTTCTGTATGATTTAATTTTTTACTTAGAGTTATTTTTTTTCCAAGTAAATCACATATTAGCTTGTATAACATCAAATAATAATACTGTACATTACAAATAATAGCATTACATAACTAATATTTTTTATAAAATAGATGAACGGATAGATAGATAGATAGATAAACAGACTGTCGGATAGATAGATAGATAGATAGATAGATAGATAGATAGATAGATGATAGATAGATAAAAAGACAGACTGTTGGATAGATAGATAGATAGATAGATAGATAGATAGATAGATAGAGACAGACTGTCAGATAGATAGATAGATAGATAGAGACAGACTGTCAGATAGATAGATAGATAGATAGAGACAGACTGTCAGATAGATAGATAGATAGATAGAGACAGACTGTCAGATAGATAGATAGATAGATAGAGACAGACTGTCAGATAGAT